TTTTTTTTCTTCCGCTGCTCTCGTTTGAAGTACATATCCATGTCTTGTCTTGTCGGGAGTCGGGTTTTGAGCAATCCACGATCTACTGTCCTTTCTACCCGCGTGCGATGCTACACTGTTCAAAAGGTTTCGCCGAAGAAAGGCACCAAAGGGTCGAGCAAAGACGTGTCCAGATGCCTCCTGAATCCAATAACGATACAAATACAACAAGCCTCTGCAAGGCCGCCTATAAACCGTTCTATACCATCACCGTGAGCGGCACCACGTCCAGCACCCCACCCCCTCGCACCCCCTACTCATCTACGAGCTCCCCAGACGAGTCGACGCTCCCGCCCAAACGCTCCCAAGCCCCTCTGATCTTGTTCATCTCGTCCGTAACCGCCTGCAGCTCCGCCATGAACGTGACGAGCGCGTCCGGGTCGAGGTCGTCCACGTCCGCGTCGCCGTCCGCGTCGTCGTCCCCGCTCGCCTCCCCGTTCAGCATGCGCTCAATCCGGTCGCGCCGCTGTGCCTGCTCCTGATATAATCGAATGTACACGAGGAAGCACGTCTTGTAGTACCCGCGCAATCCTGGGCGGTCAACGGGCAGAGGCGCTCGGGGCTTGAAGCGCGCGGGGTATTTCTGCTTCGTCTTGAATTTCTTCACAGCAGGCTCGGCGCGGGGCGGAGGGTCGGACTCGTCCGAAGACGAAGTGAAGTGGATCGAGGATCGGCGACGCTTCGATGTGCTCGACGCGCGGTGCGGGCCGTCGTCCTTCGCACTCGCACTCGAGGAGGACGAGGACGAGGGAGGCTGCGGATTCTCGGGCATTGAAGGCCTGGGCGGCAGGGACGAGCGTGGCGGTGGCGAGAACGCAAGCGACAACGGCGACGGCTCCTTCTTCACCTTCGTGCGCGGTGGACCCAAAGGCGAGGGTTCGCGTAGCACGGGCTTCTTTGGCAATGAGAGGTCCCTCCCGCGCGACTTCTCAGCAGCGCTCTGCTGGTCCTCCAGGCGACGCTTCTTCGTTACACCACTGCTGAGCGGAACGTCACGTTCGGAATACTCCGAGTCGTCTCCCTCTCGCGGAGCCTTCTTGCGCTTCATAGGAACAGGCGACCCTTGCCCTCGGGATCGCTGTCGCTCGTCTGCTACACTCTGACGCTCGCGCTCCCGTTGGCGCTCCTCTCGTCGTTCATCCGCAGCGCGCTCCTCCTTGGTCTTCTTGCGGAACTGTGGCGTGGTAGTCTTGGGCTGCGGCGACGCCATCGGCGCTGCGATGGGCGGGAGTGGCTTTGCAGATCCGGAAGGCGCGGGCAGCTCGCGCTCACGTTTGCTTTCTCGAGCATCCACCGGGCCTGTTCTCTTTGCAGGGAGAGGCGAGTTCGCGCGCAGGTCGGTAGCGGGTGGCGTGGCGGACGCCTTGACCTTGTACCCAGAACCGGGAAGCCTCCGGTTTGGGGGGCGCGTCGCGCTCGTGGGCGTACCCGCGCCGCTTCCATCATCAATGTCGCGCTCGCGCGTCTTGCCCTTCGCGGTGGGCTCATCCCGACCCGGGCGCGCGCTTTCGTCCTTTGCGATGATGATATCTGGCACCTTCTTCCGCATTCCCTCCGCAGGCTTCGTCTTCTTCGTCGTACCTTTGGACATCATGCCCTTCTTGGGTTCTGCGCCCGACGCGCTAGGGCCCGCCGCAGACTTTGCCGACGCGCGCAAACCGGCATCGGTGGCCCCGACTTCGCGATAGCGCGCATGCTCCCAGACAGGGTCCGACTCTGGGATCCTCAGGCTCTTGTACGCCGCGCGCGCCTGCCGCGACAGGCTCAGGCGTTCGTCGGAGTCCAACGAGGGCCATTCGTACGGTCGCACGTCGCGCCACGACTCCGTCTTTAGCTGCCACAGTTGAGGCGTATCAGAGCTGCTGCTCTTGACCGTGGGTTTCGGCTCCGCCACCTGCGCAGCTGTCAGATAGATTGCACGGCCATACACTACATGTTAACTCACATTGTGCAGCAGCAAGATGAGCTCCTTCTTCATCTGCGGGGACGGGTCCTTTCCCGCACACATCGCGATGACCTGATCGGACGTCCGAGCCTTGAGCGCCAGGCAATGGATCAGACGCGCCTTCGTCGGAGGAACCTCATTTGTTGATCCATTTGCGTGGGAGCTGGAGGCCGGAAGCGGAGACGCCACCCTCGACGTCTTAATGCCCGACGGCGGGCGACTGACGGAGGGCAGAGCCGGGCGACGAGGGGCTGTCGCGTCTTTCCGCCTCCCCTTCGCGCCCGTGTGACCCAGATCCGGGGGGGTATCGAGGTATATGGCCTTGCGCTCGGTGCGCTGTTTCTCGGCCTCCAGCGTTCGGTCACGCACCGTGCTCTCCACTTTCTCCCCAAGCTGGCGGTCCACAGTGAACTTGCCGATGACGTTGGCGTACATCTTCAGCGGAGCCATGGGCTTTTGCGCCGAGGCCATACGGAGGTATAGTTCGTGGGGGCCATTCTCTTGGTCGGCTCGCACAGAGTAGAAGGTATCGTTAATGTATAGTCCCTGTATACGTGTCAGAGCTGCATATATGCTGTCATGAGGTGTGGACGACGCACTGGGGTCTTCCCGAACTCGAAGTGCAACTTGGGGAGGTTCTGCGCGTCCTCCAGCTGCTCGAAGGTCTCCGCCGACATGCGGAACAGCATTGCCTGCTTTGGTTTAGTGTGCATAAGGTCTCCAGGACCCGGTTGTCCTTGCAGGGTGAGCGTCGCGTCGGGCGGGAGGGGCATGGTGGCGGCTGAGGTCGAACAATGCAGTAGCACGAGTGGCGCGGTATTGGGAGATGTCAGAGAGACGCAACGGAGGTATAGGCCAGACAGGTGTGCAGAGCCACCTATATAGGCGGAGACGGTGGGTATGTGCGTCGACGACGGCAACAGCGACGCGGGCCCGAGCGTGCACGACGAGGTGGGGGGAGGAGAGCTGTGGGCCTGGCGGGAAGTTGTGGCACAGCACAGATCGTATCAGCCCATGTGCGCTAGCCGCCCGCCTCGCCCCAGTCCGCTTCGGGCCTCCAAACCTTCGCGGACCTTTCTCTTCATTAAATTCAAGGCACCTCCCTCCATCTGTATGCATTCTGCAGAGGCACGGCTGCACAGCAGTGTTCGTATAGAGGCATGCGTACATACAAGGTGTGCATGTGGGTGATCACATTCCCAGTGGCCACTACACGAGCCGCAACGGCTGCGTTTCACTTATCTGTTTATATCGTCAGCGTCCCAAAGCATGGCGAGATGGCCGAGCGGTCTAAGGCGCCAGACTAAGGTGCACAAGCGGTGGATTGGTATCTGGTCCGAAAGGGCGTGGGTTCGAATCCCACTCTCGTCAAATCGGTTTTGTTTTGCCTACGTTTGAGCTGTGCAACCCATGCATAGAAGGTTTAGTAGGTGGGCGACATCGACGGCAATGACTAAAGCATCTCACTGATAGACTGTCATGCTCTAATACTTGTGCTACGTATCACCATGCTCAATAGAAGGTCGTAATGATGATGGGTAATGTCCAAGGCGGCGCGAGGTTGTCATTGGAATACTATGGACGGCGCATAGAGACCATAGCCGTACTCCACAGCAGTAGCGGCGCGGGACGCACCGCGCTTTAGGTTCTCGGGATATAGGGTGATGCTCCGCACCGGAGGCCTCGAGTCGGGATGGTCGTAGTAATCCAGCCCGAGTTGATAAGGGCCACTGATGCTGTGGCGACTGTAGTCAAAGGCAAGGTCAACGATCGCTGGAGTTCTAGCGCACGGTGCACTTACTCCCGGCAGTGCACGGCTATGGCTCTGCTATCGTGGCAGTGGAACTCGCAATGGGCGCAACACTTCTTCTTGTCGTAGAACATCGGTGGGACGTACAGGTGAGTGGGGTCATTGCACTCGACCTCTCGGACCCGGGCTGTGAGGGCGGCATCGAGCAGCTTCCACGTGCTCTCCCCTGGCACTCCTCTGCACCGGCGTGCACTCCCAAACGTGCCTTCGGAGGGCCGCCCATGTGCGATCTGTGGTGGGGCCGTTTCAGCAGACGTCTACAACGAGTACAGATATGCTTACCGCTCCCCTCCAATCGAAGGTCTCCTTGCTGATAACCTCGGTATTTGGCGGGCAAGCCATACATACCAGTCTAACTTCACATTTGTCCATATCCTCGTGAGTCGCCACGTCTGGATCGAACCCGCACGCAGTAACAACGGAGCGCGCTCCCTCTATATCGACGTTCGCAGAGAACATGTCGTCGGTCGCGGTCCACGGCGGTCGCTTCCCTTGCCATACGCAGAGCTCCACGATTGCCTGGCCCCACGAATCTTGCCGGTAGACCACATCCCTAGCGCACTCGTGTGCGAGGACATTAGGCCATTTGAGGTCCTCGCGGTGACAGCTGTCGCATTTGAACGTGAGGATGGCTAGTGACAGATTCGGAGGGGAGGAGTCTTCCCCACGAGGAAGAACCTCCAAGGCTTTCTTCGAGAACTCCTGCTCGCGGTCTGCCAACCATGCGGCCTTGACGATCGGGATCATATCCTGCAGTCGTTCGAAATCGGCCTGCATAATCTCGGGGCTTGAGGGTGCGTCGACCAGCTGCTGGAACGGAGGCAGCTTCGCCAGATCTAGAGAGCAGGCCTGAGACTCCGTCATTGGTGTCCGCCGCCCAAGCGAGGCCTCATAGGCAGCAGCAACGTGACTGAGATAGACAAGTCGCTTGCTGAATTCCTTGAAGCGTTCCTTGTCGAGACGTGCCGCCCGCACTCCTTCCATATGGGTTATGACATCCTGTCGAATGGACTGCCAAACTACATGTGCAGTCAATATCGCATGCATCTCCAGTGAAAGAGATCGACAAACTGGTGTCAGAGAGCTTCTGGGGCTTGCGCACAGCTTTGTGATCTTTGAGCTGATTTAGGGAGTGAGTGGTCATCTGGTCGAGCTCATCTGCCCAGCCTTCTTGTCGTAGTCGGGCTACAATGCTACGCCTTATATTAAGCATACGTATGAATGACTGGCGCAAATATGCCACTCACCTTTCGAATCGAGCCTTCCTGATGTTCTCTAGTTCTTCGGTCCTGTTGTTCGATTCCGCGGCCTTCCAGGCTTTCAGAGCTTCAATCGGCTGTTGGAGAGCATCATAAACGAATGGTGAAACTACTCGTGCAGTAGTATAAGACTTTACCAGGATCCTCTGTTTGCGCGCGGCCACGTGCCCCTGGGCGAACTGAACCTTCTCCGCATCGTTTGTGAGAGCTTTCCACTTCGCTATGGCTTCTTTAAAGTGAGGAAGGTAGACGGCTGGTGTATCGTGGTAAGAGTCCTTGCTGTTCTTCAGGTGAGCAATGCAACATAGAAAGAAGGCGTAGCGGATCAACTCACGAGCGCGGAACGAGAGCTGTGTTGACTGCAAAGTGTTGCACTCGTGTCTCCACTCGCACGAGCTTGTTAAATGCCATCGCATCATATGCTCTTGTCTGAAACCTGAGTGACCCCGTGTGAGGGAGGTATAATTAAATGTGTGTGGAGGACACCATACAACTTGTCCCTGCATCCTGGACAGTATCGTGCATAGACCTCCCATATGATGGTCTTGACGTTCGGCTTCAGGCAGCTCTGTTTGATGATTAGATCACGTCTTGCGCATTGAATAACCACGAGCCGCTCACATGACAATACGGGAAGAACAGTAGGTTTGCGTACTGCGGTTCGCTCAGGAAGGGTGGGCAGTCCGGCAGTCCTTCGACTTGCTTGCGCGCGGCCTTCCATAACAGCGCGGAGTTACGACTTGTCAAAAACGCGCGAAATATCTTGGACGTGCGCGCCAGATTGAGCAGGTCGCGCGGGTGCATGCAAGTGAACACCTAACGCGCGAAGGCAAGCGTCCGTGAGTTCCCCGATCGAGCAGCGTGCCTGAACAATGCAACATTACCTCTATCAAGATGTCCAGAGGCATATTGGGCATATCCTTCAACCCGCCGCGTCGTCCGCGGAGGTTGCGACGAGGTGGGCGGTCCGCCGGGGATGCTCCTGCGGCAGCTTCACTGTCCACGTCAGAAGCGAGCGCCCGGTCCTTTCTTGCCTTCTTCCTCGGAGGCATGGCGGCTGGATAGACAGATACGTATATCCTAGAGAGCGCCGTGACCGGTACGAGATGGAGGTTGAGAAGAGAACGCGAGCTAGGAGTGGCGAGTGGCTCAAAGTCCCAGTCTTCTGATCTAAGATCTGCGATCTGAGATCCGGGATGTACGTCGCCTGCAAGCGCCCAATTACAGCTGTTCTCAAATCGATAGGCCCGTGGAAAAAAAAATCGCGGACAGCGCTTTCGGGCGGCGACGGCGGAGAGGATGCGGATGTACATGCCGAGGGCCGCGCTGGGTCGCGTACCTCTTCGCGACGCGCGCTACCTGCCAAACAGCATCGCCACGTCTGGGCTTGAACGCCTCTGTGTTTTTTTTCTACGGGGGCCTATCGATCTGAGAACAGCTGTAACGTACTTACACATACAAGTACTTGGATCTAAACATTGCACCCCTCAGGCTCTTGCATTCATTCTCTTCCAGGTCCGACACCCAACCGTCGCAATAGGTGCGCACCCAGATATCTCAGGGAAAATATGCATTGGCTTCAATCTGCAACCTTCAAGTACATTACTCCGGACATCATGATAACCTTTGACTTGGATACTATATTCTGGATGACCACGTTCTATGGCACGTAGAGACCGTACCCACACTGCACAGCAGTAGCCGCGCGAGATGCGCCACGCTCGGGGTTCTCAGGAAACAGGGTAACGCTCCGCTCGGGAGACCACGAGTCGGGGTGGATGTAGTAGTCCTCTGTGAGTTGCGCAACAGCGATGTTGTGCATGCTGTGGTCGCAGGAGTGGTGTCAGCGGCCAGTGAGTTTCTATGCGCCGCACACTTACCTCCGGCAGTGTTGCCCTATACTGTCGTGGCAATGGAACTCGCAGTGGGCGCAGCAGAACCTTGTATCACCCAGTTTAGGCCCGACGGTGTGTTGAGTTGGTCCCATCAACTCAGCCTCCCAGACACGGAGGGTGAGTGCAGTGTTGAGCAGCTTCCATTTGCTCTCTCCCGAGGATCCCTTGCATCGCAGTGTGTTTCCGAGATTGCCATCGGAGGGTCGTTTGTGTGCGACCTGTCGGGGGGCGTAAGCAAGTATCGATCATCTAGTCCAGAGAACCACATACCGCCCCCCTCCAAGTGAATGTCTTCTTGCAGACGACCTCGGGATCTGGCGGACAAGCCATGCAGACAAGTCTCGCTTCGACACAGTCCATCTCTGCGTGAGTGGACACGTCCGGAGGGAACCCACATGCAGCAACAACAGAGCGTGCTACCTCCACATGAACGTTGGCAGAGAACAGGTCCTCGGCGGCTTGCCACGGGGGCCGCTTCCCCGTCCACACGCAGAAAATCAAGACGGCCTTGCTCCAGGAATCCGGCCCATATGCATAGTTCACAGGCCTAGCGCACGAGTGTGCGAGAACATGGGGCCATTTGAGATCTTCACGACCGCACGTGTGACATTCGAACGTGAGGATGGCTAGCGAGAGGAGGGAGACGTCGCCGTCAATAGCAATAACCTGTTGTGCTTTCCGCAGGAACTCCTGCTCGCGCTCCGCCAACCATGCGGCCTTGAGAGCCGGGATTGTATGCCGTAGCCGTTCGAAATCATCTCGAGTGATCTCCGCGCTTGAAGATGCGTCGATCAGCTGTTGGAACGGAGGGCGTTTCGCCAGGTCTAAGAAGCACGCCTGGATCTCCGTCATCGCCGTCCGCCGCCCAAGGGAGGCCTCGTAGGTAGAGACAACGTCGCGGAGATAGCCCAGCCGTTTGATATAAATCTCGAACCATTCGTTTTCGAGACGCGCTGCCCGCACGCTTTCCAGTTGGCCTATGACCTCCTGTCGAATTGACCGCCAAACTGCCAATGTTGTTAATATCGCTTGTATAGCCGGTGCGAAAGGGGGACAAACCGGCATCAGTGAGCTTCTGGGGCTTGCGTACAGCTCTGTGATACTTGAGCTTGTACATGCATTCTGAATCAGCCATCTTACTGAGCTCGTCTGCCCAGCCTTCTTGTCGCAGTCGGGCTACAATGCTGTACTTCTATGAGACACGCGTATACATGAGCAGCACGAGCACGTCACGTACCTCTCAAACCGAGCTTTCCTGATGTTGTCCAGTTCTTCGGACCGGTGGTTCAATTCTGCGGCCTGCCAAACCTTCAAGGCTTCCATCGTCTGAACGCGCACATTATCAACGAACGGTCAGACTACTCGTGCAACTACTCACCGAGATCCTCTGGCTGCGCGCGGCCACGT